CCGGACTCAGCAGGCGCGGGCCTGCGCGCGACAGGCGCCTCAGGTGCGGGGAGCGGCCCGGGCCCAGGCTGGGGCCCAGGCTGAGGCCCAGGCCAGACTCTTCCACCGACAGCCGCCGCAGCATCAGCGGGGAGCTCCGCGGGCTGGGCTCTTCCGACAGCTGCCGGCGCAGGCCCTGCTCCTCGGCCCGGAGCCGGAGCGCGGCGGGGCCCGGGACGCAGCGCACGGGCAGCATGCAGGGCTTCGGCGGCGGCGCTTGCCGAGGGGATGGAGGCGCTTCTTTGGTCGCCCCACGCCCAGGTTCCGGGGCTGGCGCCTCTGCCTGGGGCAAGGCCTCCACCGACGGCGACCTGGACGGCGGGGCCACGTCTGCCGAGAGTCGCTCGGGGGGCAGGGCTAGCTCAAAGGCTGGAATCTGGGGGTCGGAGGGCCCCCCTGACTGTAAGGCCGGACCTGACAACAGCTCCCCGGTCGGCTGAGTGGGCTCAGGGGCCGGAGCCCCGGGCGTGTCCTGTGGCTCCAACGGCCGGGCCGGGTCCTCCCGTGGTTCCACCGGCTGCTGCGCCGCGGCCAGGGATGGAGCCCCCGGGCCGGCCGGTTCTCCCGGTGAGACGGAGGTGATCTTCGACGGCAGCGCTGGTGCCCCGGGCGTGCCGGGGACGCACGAGGGCAGGGGCTCTGGTGCCTCCCGGGGCCGCAGCTGCTTCTTCAGCACCACGAACTTGACGCCGTCGAGCTCCTTCACCACCGCCACGTCGTTGACAAACTGCTTGAAGCGGTGCCTGCGGGCGGCGCGGCCGTGTGGGTCGCCCGCATCCAGCAGGGGCTTGAAGCGGCTCAGCAGATCCGAGTTGCGCACCTTGCCGCCGTGCTCCTGCAGGAAGCCCAGCACCGCCGCCTGGCTCACCCCGGCGGCGGCGGCGGCGGCCGCGGCGGCCAGCGCCATGGTCAGTCCCGCCCGGCAGGGGAGCCAAGGCCTCCCCACCCGCCCTCGGTTCCCGGCTGCCGGGGCAGGTGCACGTCTCCGCGTCCGCTGGGACGAGCGGAGCGGGGGGTTCCGGGAGCGAGGTTCCTCCTCGGCCAGGCTCACCTGAACGTTTTCACCGAGGCGGAACGGGCGTGTCCCTGAAGCTGGACCTTGGTCACGCCCGCGCCGTGGAGCCCGGGTGTCTCCCGGAGGAAGGTGCGGGGGGCCGCATCGCGTGCCCACCGCCTCCGCCCCGCCAGGCCCCCAGCCTTCGGGGTAGGTTTCTGCCTTTGTATTGTGTCCAATGGGCGCCAGGCTCCATCCCCCGTGCTCAGTGCTCGCCTTACAGGTGTCAGCTGCCACCAGGGCCGCGGAGGGAATGGGGAAGCGGAAATTATCCCCCCTCCCCCCACCCCGGGAATTAAAGGCGCAGTGCCGTACTTCAGCTGGCTCCCGGTTGCTAGGTGGGTGTGTTCCCCGGGCATGCCGCGGACGACCGGGAGAGGCAAAAATTTTTATTTCCTTAAGGAATAGTTCACTACCACAGAGTATCGGGAGATTATTTATTTATTTATTTATTTATTTTAATTAATTTTTTATTCTTATGTTAATCCCCATACATTACATCATTAGTTTAAGATGAAGTGT